TAATCAAAACTTTAAAACGCAAAACTGATTTACTTCGGCGATTCAGGTTGTTATTTCCTGTAATAACCTTTTGGTTGTTGAAGGTGCAAAGTCATTAATCACGCTTTCGCTTGTATTTTTTTTCCCCAATAATAGTGTAGTTCGCAATACAGAAATAGTTAAGTAGTATGAAATATGAGTGACCGACTAGAAGATGTGATCAGAGGATGTGTGAAACAATTTGCCTCAACTGTTGATTTCACAACCTTTGCACAATCTGGTAACGGACTCTCACTCAGTGTGCAAGATGTCACTACGGTCATTGAAAACCACAGATTCTCTGTTGAAGAACAGAAGAAGAAATTGTTCTGGCTTTGGGTTGAAAGAAACCAACCGAATGTAACTGGACAAAGGATAAGAAATCTTGTTACGCAATACTATGCAGCTGAACAACAAGGCGCTGCTGCTCCGATTGAAAGACTTGAAGATGTTTTTCAAGATGTTATTAAACAATTTACATCCAAAGAATTCAAGCAGTTTGCAATATCAGGGCAGGGATTATCTCTTACAGAACATGAAATAGACGAGGTCATGGAAGATTATAAATATACAAGAGAGCGAAACCTTAAATTACTGTGGAAATGGAGACATTCTAAGTATCCAAATACTAACAATGCAGCAGTGATAGAAAGAATAAGAGCAGTTGTTGGGCTTTATTTTCAAGATGCAAATCAAGTAGAGGAAGAGCAGTTCATTCAGGAAGATGGAGACAGGATGTTGGAATCATTCAAAAAACTTTCTGTGAAACCAACTCAAACAACTGAAGTTTCTTGAAGTCGTGAAAAATTATACAAAGCAGATGTTGGAATCTAGATTGAAATCCGCCAGTGAAAAAACAAAAATGGATGATTTTATATTTCCCAAGGTTACCGAGTTTAAGGAATCCGAATCCAACAAACAGAGTAGTTTGCAATCAGTGGATATCACGAAGATTCATTCTGACAAGTCAGTCAACCGTGTGATGTTGCTAGGAGACACGGGTTCTGGAAAAACAACATTCTCGATGAGATATGCATTGTCAGCACTGGAAAAAAAATTACATTTCTCAGACGAAATTAAGATGGTCTATTTCGTGGATGTTTCTAATTTACAAGCGGATTCTCAATCAACCGCTTTTGATCTTTTATTCGTTCAACAACTTGGTTCGAAACTTCCCGAGCATCTCCATCGTGTTGGACAAAAGTGGTTGAAACTGAATTCAAAACATATTCTACTTGTAGTTGATGGGTTGGATCAGAGTCTGAAGCCTTTTGCAAATGATTATGGAAGAATTGGAGTGGACACTCTAGTGGAAACCAACACTATTCTCGCTAATATTTTATCCGGCCACATATATCCAGGAATGAAGATTTTGTCTACGACTCGTTGGAATGTTTATTGGAAGTTGCCTCCATCTCTCAAGGCCACCTTGAATCTCACCTTAGGGGGATGGGATGATGAAACACTGGAACTTCTTGCTGGAAAGTTATTTAGTCCTGACGCAAGAAAAATATTTGATGATTTGAGACGTAAAGCACCAGGTTTTGTTTCAAACCCGATGTTTTTTTTCTACTTGGTTCGAGTTTTGAAAGATTTCCAAGAAAGCGATGTTGATACTTTAACAAATCTCATGGTTTCTGTTTTGAAACTTTTTTCAGGATCTCGTCATGGACAAAATGTTGGAAGTCTGTTATTGGAACTCATGAAGTTGGCTTACCATGGAATGATAGAGAATCGATTTGTTTTCTCTGCAAGCTATATTAGATCCCTAAAGTTGAATATGACTGACATGCGTGGTCTTGTTGAGATGGATGCTGACACTCGATTTGTTGAGTATGTTGCGGGTGACGACGACATGAGGTTACGGTTTTCACACCAGAGTATAGGAGAGATTCTTGCTGCCCTGTATGCCTGTACTCTTGATTTGGATGAATTCAAGAAGCTTATAGAGAATTATTATGAGAAATCAGGAATGGAAGTCGTTATAAAACATACTTTTGGAATTATTCTCAACAAATCAACTTCAGAAAAAGCAGCAAAATATCTTCCTGATAACATGCATATCAAGTCTGAATACCTGATGGGCTACTTGGATAAATTATTGGAAGGAAAAGTCATTTCAGATAAACGAGTCGTGACTTTATTGCATGAATGTGGTCCTGATGTGATCAAGAAAGTTTGCTCACAAATAGAAGAAATGAACTTCAACTATCAAACACTCCAACCTGGAGATCAGCATGTAGTGAAGTCTGTTGCTGAGCATAGTCCTTCACTTCATACTTTGAAACTACGGAGCTTGGAAATACATCCTGAAAATTATTCTTCTCTGCAACATGTTCTTGGTTCTGTGCAGAATGTTCATGTGTATAGCTTCTATCTTATCAATTGTGTTGCTGAGAATCTCCGAATCCTGGATGAAGCCGTGATGAAGGGAAACCTTAAGATTGGGTTGAGCCTCATGATAAGTAAAAGTCCAGCACTTGAACCTTCTGGTTATTCTTATGTAATTGGATTGGTTTGTCATGGTGGTGCGGGAGGGCTTATACTGTATGACTGTGGCCTGAATGCAAATAAAATAAGTAAGATGAATCAAGCAGTCATTGAATATGGTGTCAAGTTGGTTTCATTGTATATTGTAAAGGATCCTAACATGGATGCAGAAGCATTTCAACAACTGGCAAAGTTGCTGAAAAATACTGAGGCAAAGCATCTGTTGGCAGAACATTGCACTCCAACAAGTGAGCAGTTATCAGCTCTTTGTTCAAGTTTAGAAAATGAAGATGTCAAGTTGTCTCGCTTAACCCTGGTAAGATCAACTACAGAATCCCTCACTGATGATTAACTGATGATTGTTTCTAGATTGGTTCAGAGGGTGGGAGAGCTCATGTTCTTATGTCAAGAGTTGTCCGAGTCAAAGATGGAATTTCTGAGGAAGGAAACTGTGAAACTTTGTCCAAGTGCAAAGATAAATAGTGGATCATGGGGTTTCCTTATAAGAAATCCAATCATGGTTCAGGCTCAAATGGACTTACACATTTAGGAAATTCTGAACAAGCATGTGTTTCCAAGCATGGAGCGTCCAAAGATACTTCACAAATATCCAACCCATTCCTAATTAGCCCAGAAACAAAAAATACTGTCCTTTGGGGTGCGAAATATCTCAAAAAAAAAGGTTTGGAGTTTCCAATTAAACTTCCTACTTCAAAGCACAGAATACTGTTGAATACCGGGCAATTCTGCATTTCATTTGTGAGGCCTACACTTTAAATCAAGTAATCGGACTAATATTATTACTGATATATTCATTCTGAAATAGTGCGATAATTAGACTTAAATGAAGCTTCTTATTCTACATATTTTGACTCTCACTTTATAGAACTGTCACTTGGACATGCATTCCTTAAATTAAAGTGAGAGTGAGTGCATGTTCTTAGATTAAACTGAGTCATATGTTCTTTATTACTGTTTTATTATATTTTCATGCTAATTTATAATCTCCAACTATTTGTATTAAATTTTGTATTTTCAAACATGTAATAGATATATTACTTACTGTTACAAATGAAAAGTTTATATTGATTCTGAGAAAGAGATATATTTTGACTCTGATGTTAAAGAGCCAACTTTCTGACATAATATATTATACCCTTAAATTGAACTTAGATTCTTGACTATTGTGATTGTTTCATGTGTATTTATTCAGTATATCTGACTCTCACTCAATAGAACATCCACTTGGATATGTGAGGTCTTAAATTAAACGGAGTCATATGTTATTAATCTTCAACTGTCTTCATTATATTTTTATTTAACACATAATTGGTATATTGCTTGCTGTTGTATTCTTACTGTTTCCCAAGCATGATAATGTTTCAAAACGTATATTAATTCTGAGAAAGAGAAAGCAGATAATATTATAAATATTTCAATTTTTTGATGATTGTTATTATTCGATATATTTGACGAGCATATCAATGAATTAAACTGAGAATTATACATTCTTTAAATAGTGTGACAATGTTATTTCAGTGTGTGTTTACAATCTCCCATATTTTTATTAAGTAGGTTTTGTAATTGTTTGCAACTGTTTTGTGAGGTAAAATTAAATTTATCATCATTTTCCTGTAATACTTTTTGATCCCTAATGCAACTAATATGTCACAATTCTATTCATAACCACTGCTTCATGTTGCTGAAGCATATCCCCCATATTCATGATGCCACATAATTCTTGTATAATTCAACATACCCAATACATTCTTTTATTACTGTAAATATTGACTAATCTGTGTGTTCTTGTGATTTTAGCCTTAACTTAATGTAGGCGATGATATATTGAGTTATGTTTCTACAAAAGCACTTGGGAATTTATAACTCATATAGAGATGTAACCTGGATATACTACACACTTACCTACTGGGAGTAGCTGTACCTGGATATACTGAGCCTATTGAGAGTAGCTGAACAGTCCGGTGAATGAAATAGTAAGTCTTGAATGGTTTTTATATTTAATTTTAATGAATTTCCAAATTTCCAGTCAAATTTTCTTTGAATTGAAACTGGTTTCGTAAAGAGTTAAAAACTTAGTAAATGCTCGTAGAGGGAGAATGTTCAATAAGTGGTCACATTTGGGCACAAAACTCTGTATTTTAAATGGTATTTAATTTGGAGGTGTTTTTCTGGAGGCAATATCGTTTTCCTTTTCTCTGTGTGCTCAGCCATATATATTTAAGGGTCTGTAATTTAAACCTTTCCGTGCGGTGGGCACGTATACGTACCAATGACAAAAGTCGCTAGATTGCAGCGGGTACGTTGATGTACTCCACTGTTTTATTTAGCAATCGGTCGCAAACTGTTGGTCTAGTTCAGGGATGTCCAACCTTTTAATTCAATGGGCCGCATTGCAAACTTAAATATTTAACTGGGCCGCAAAACCACCTCTTAATACAATTTAATGGAAAAATTACAATATAAAACAAAACCACGTGAATACAGTTTATTTACATTATTACAACGTTGTAAATATTGTAATGTTTATATGTAGCTATACATAAAAAACACATTAAATTTAATTAATCAATATTAAATCAATGAGACTTTTGACTTTGTCTTCCAGCCATAATGTTTTCAATATTTGCATCGAAGGATGCATTCTTAATTCTAAGAATGTTTGCTAAATGTCTATCAGTCAACCTGTTTCTTTCTGCAGTTTTAATGTTTTTCATGCTTGAAAAAAACTGCTCGCAAGAGTATGTACTTCCCCACATACATAATAATTTTCTGGATAAATTTAGAATTTGATTGAATTCATTTTTGAGAGAATGCAATTTCTTATAAAATGAAGGAAGTGTGTTCTCCCTGTGAAAAGTTTTTAAACCTTCCCGACTTTGCAGCTCAATCAGTTCAAGTTGGTACTCCACTGGTGCTTTATCATATTCAAATGAAAATGGATCACTAAACAATTTTAACTCAATTTCAATCTTTCTAAAGTCAGAAAATCTAATCGTAAACTCTCCAAGCAAATCCTCACATAATTTAGTATATTTTTCATAGTTTACAGAAAACTTTTTTTCTCTTTCAGATAGACTACGGAAGTGTACAATTTTACCAGCTTTTAGCTGTGCTATAAAAAGTTCCAATTTCTTTGTGAAACTAGTTATTCGCTCAAACATTGAGGAACATAATTGGTCCTTTCCTTGTAAATGCAAATTAAGTTCAGCTAATACTTCGGTGATGTCTACAAAGAAAGATAAATCATTCAACCATTCTTCATTTTCTAAAAAATCCACATTTTGCTTCTTTTTTTCCAAGAACACTTTTATTTCAGGCAACAATAACTGAAATCTTTTTAAGGTTGCTGCTTTACTGAGCCATCTAACTTCTGAGAAATATACTACGTCTTCATATTCACTGCCAACTTCGTCCAAGAATGCTTTAAATTCGCGATGATTTAAACCCCGTGATCTGATGAAATTAACAGCCTTGACAAGATCAGTCATCAAATGTTTCATATTTAGCTTTTGAGCACATAATTGTTGTTGATGTATCAAGCAATGGTAACTGAGAATCTCATGATCAACAGATTCTTTAAATAAACTAATAAAACCATTGTGTTGACCAGTCAGGGCAGGAGCACCATCAGTTGTAATTGAATAAATGTTTTTCCTATCAATATTGAATTTATCTAATGACAAATTAACAATCTCATATATGTCCTTGCCTCTTGTTGTGCCCTTTATGTGACACAAGTCCAACATTTCTTCAATAATATTGAAATTTTCATCAATTCCTCTAATGAAAATAACTAATTGTGCAGTATCACTTTGGTCAATACTTTCATCCAACGCTAAACTGTAAAGAACGCATGCAGATAATTTGTCCTTCAGTATGCCTTCAATATTATCACCCAAGTCATCAATTCTTCTGCCAATTGTCTGATGTGATAGACATGCTTCCTTTACTAAATTCACCTTGTCTGGACAGTACTCATTAAAAGCAATAACAATGCATTCTTTTATTAATTCTCCATCAATAAGAGGTTTTCCTTTCTTAGCTAATTTCTCAGCTATAAGGTAACTAACTTTTGTACATGTTCCACTTTTAACAATATGTTTTTGAAGATTAGCTTGTTGTGAGCTAATTGCCTTTGTCAATTCTTCAATTTTCGTTTTTCTTCTTTCTTCATTAAATGTCTGATATTCTGACTCATGTTTCGAAACATAATGACGTCTGACATTGTATTCCTTGCATACGCTAATCTTATCATTACATATAAGACATGTTATATTGCCAAATAACTCGGTCACAAAATATTTTTCCGTCCATTGGATATTAAATTTCCTCTTTTCTTCTGCTATTTTCCTTTTTTTAGTAATAGATTCCATGGCCATATAAATATAAAATTTTCATTACTTAAGATTATAGTTCTCTGAAAAAGAAATTAACCATTAATAGGTGTACTGAGCCGTAGTTTACTGAAAATGCATTCATTTCAACAATAAAGAAAATTTAAATGATTAAGCACTTACTTTTGAGAGATATAGTCTGCACACCGCCACAGCCAAAACAACACTGTCGAGAACAAAGACTTGCGAACGGCATGGCGAGTAGCTGGTGGCGGCGCACCAGAGCGCGAGAAAAAATACATACGGGAGTTTCAATTTGGTCGCTACAATTATTTTATTTATTAAATATAAAGTATTTTTTGACTAAATTACAATAAATATATTTTGACTAAATTACATGAAGACTCTCGTGCTCATTACTTCATAAATTTGCTAAAAAAAAATTTTTAATGATTCGTTAGTGGGCCGCATCCAAACATTAAGTGGGCCGCAAAGCGGCCCACGGGCCGCAGGTTGGACATCCCTGGTCTAGTTTTTCCGGGTTTTAGTTTGCTGATAAGAAGTCTTCTTCGAGATTAACATAAGCGACGGTAAATCTCGCTTTCGTTTACGACGGGAATTTTATTTGCGGCGGAACGAGGGAGTGTTTTTGAAATTTATGCAAATTTCGGTGTTTTTTGGGTGGTAATAGAAGACATATTATCCCTTCCATTCAAAGTATTTTGAATTAGATCACTAAATTGCTACAGCAATATTATGCTATTGTTTGCCAACCACGAAGCGGTAACAGTAAAGGATTTAGCGAATATTTCTATTTTTTATCACGGTTTGAAGTTTCAACTCCCAAGAAAAAAAAATGCCTTTTTTCTATCCGGTTTGTGACTCAGACCACCACTTTTAAAAAAACTTTTTTTTTTAATCGCCAATTGCAAGCTCTTTAAATGAGCTTTCCAACGAGCCGTCAGTGGGCAGCGGAGGATCATTAGTTTTTCGTTAGTCGATCGATTAGTTGTGGGGGTACAAATGCATAAAATCGGCGTAGCAAATACGATTATTTAATAAAAAATAAAAATCGCACGGAAAGGGTTCAATATTATTTAATTTGGAGGTGTTTATCTGGAGGCAATATCGTTTTTCTTTTTTTTCTGCTCAGCCATATATATTTAAGAGTCTATTCGATATTGCGGAAATGGCATAATACGAATGTCCTATTTGATATTGGCTCAGCGTAAAATAGACATAAAACTGCACTTAATAATAACTAGGGCTGTCCAAAATCGAATCTTTTTTTGATTCGAATCAAATATTTTTCTCGAATCGAACCGAATAATCGAATATTATTGCGCAATCCCATATTTGTCTCTATCGTACAATAAAAACTTCCTCTTCGATATTGTGATAACTTATGTGCAGTTACATCTAAATTATTGCTAATATTTTGCATAGTAACTATGTTTCCAAAGTTATAAAAGGAGATCACAAGCCTCCTTGAACTGGTCATAAAAATTAGGGTTTCAAAAACTATCAAGTTTTAAGAGTTGGAAATTGCACAGACTCTTTTAATGGATTCAGTTTCAATAGGGCAATGAAAGACCGTAGCTACCTATTATTATTAGTATTATTAACTCAAGATTTTTTATGTAATTTTCAGTAAAATGATAAACAACTATTAATATAGATATAACTGTAGCCCAAAAAATTTAAAATTGAATTTTGGGAACTCCCAAATTCAGAGCTAGTTTGATGACATTATTTGTTGATGACCATATTATTGCTGTACAACAGCCATCAACATGCAAGAGTGCAATTATTTGTCATAGTAACAAATGGATGATCAAAGTATTGCCATTAGAAGAAATTCTATTGAAAAAAGGGATTGCACCTCCAAAACGTGTTTCAGTCCTGTACCATGTTCCTATGATTACTGACTCAACAGCTACAAATCGATTCTATTTATAGAACTGTCGTTTTTGCTGATACTAAATTTGCCTTTTTCTCCTTGTGTTCTCTCAAAAAGCGTCATCTTTAAATCTTTGTTACCGATAACTTTCCATTTATGACCATGCATGAAATGGATAATTACATGTCACCGGGTAATAGGAGACACCTTTTTACAGCAAAGAAAGCGATAGAAACATTGTTTTTGCTTGCTCGGTGAAAACCGCAGTGCAAAGGTGGTCGTGAGGCGCATTATATACCAAATTTCAGCGATTCGATTTCGAATATTCGGTTCGCTTGTACAGCCCTAATAATGACCATTGACCCTAATAACCCATAATTGACCCTAATTTGCATAGTAACTATGTTTCCAGAGTTATAAACGGAGATCACAAACCTCCTTGAACTGGTCAAAAAATTAGGGTTTTGAAAACTATCAAGTTTTAAGAGTTGGAAATTGCACAGACTCTTTTAATGGATTCAGTTTCAATAGGGCAATGAAAGACCGTAGCTACCTATTATTATTAGTCTTATTAACCCTTTCCGTGCAGTGGGCACGTATACGTACCCACGAAAATACTCGCTAGATTGCGGCGGGTACGTTGATGTACTCCACTGTTTTATTTAGCAGTCGGTCGCAAACTGTTGGTGTAGTTTTTCCGGGCTTAAGTCTTCTTTGAGATTAACATAAGCGACGGTAAATCTCGCTTTCGTTTATGACGGGAATTTTATTTGCGGCGGAACGAGGGAGTGTTTTTGAAATTTAAGCAAATTTCGGTGTTTTTTGGGTGGTAATAGAAGACATATTACCCCTTCCATCTACCAAAATATTTTGAGTAAGATAACGAAATTGCTACAGCAATATTATGCTATTGTTTGCCAACCAAGAAGCGGTAACAGTAAAGGATTCAGCGAATATTTCTATTTTTTATCACGGTTTGAAGTTTCAACACCCAAGAAAAAAAAATGCCTTTTTTCTATCCGGTTTGTGACTCAGACCACCTCTTTTGAAAATTTTTTTTTTTTAATCGCCAATTGCAAGCTCTTTAAATAAGCTTTCCAACGAGCCGTCAGTGGGCAGCAGAGGATCATTACTTTTTCGTAAGTCGATTGATTAGTTGTGGGGGTACAAATGCATAAAGTCGGCGTAGCAAATACGATTATTTAATAAAAAATAAAAATCGCATGGAAAGGGTTAACTCAAGATTTTTTGTTTAATTTCCAGTAAAATGATAAACAACTATTAATATAGATATAACTGTAGCCCAAAGAATTTAAAATTAAATTTTGGGAACTCACAAATTCAGAGCTAAATTGATGACATTATTCGTTGATGACCATATTATTGCTGTACAACAGCCATCAACATGCAAGAGTGCAATTATTTGTGATAGTAATAAATGGATGATCAAAGTATTGCCATTAGAAGAAATTCTATTGAAAAAAGGGATTGGACCTCCAAAACGTGTTTCAGTCCTGTACCATGTTCCTATGATTACTGACTCAACAGCTACAAATCGATTCTATTTATAGAACTGTCGTTTTTGCTGATACTAAATTTGCCTTTTTCTCCTTCTGTTCTCTCAAAAAACTTACTTTTGAATAAAAAATCCTTCTCAAAATTTGAAATTCATCCTCACTCTCACTGTCAAACTGCTGTCCCTTTAGTGCGATCAGAGTTATGCGTGTATAAACCGACTCTTAGCTTGGGAACTTTTTATTTTGAGTTTTAAATCGGCTTATTTGCGATGATATACAGGATACGCTTTTGACCCTCAAACAAGGCTGGGAGTAAATTTCCTTCGTCTCCTCAGCATTATTTAAATGTCCATAACTAATGATCATGGCAAACTAAAAACACAATCTCTCAATTTTTTTAATTACTCATATGAAAATGAGAAGGAATTATTTAGTGCTTGTAACAGGAGCCAATTCTTTATCCCCCCTTCCCCCCACATCAAATAAAAATTTCTTTCCTGCTCAGAAGATCTCGCCAGACATGCTGGAGGATGACAATTTCTTTGACCTTATCACAAGACTTCAAGGTCGTAGGATGGACGATCAACGATGTGACATGAGAGACGACCAATATGAGTTACCGGCGTTTTTAAAACCTAACCCTTCAGATCCCCCTCAAATCATCACCCCGCAATGGGGGATGATAACCCATTGGAAATGATGAGGGTGAGTGTTCTTTTATTATTTTTTTTCGAAATACTGAGAAACAGTCATTTTCCTGGGCATGGTCACAACAACATTGCTATCGATGATATATAAAGCACAGTCAGTGTTATGAATATACCTGGTGGCAATCATACAGTGTTTTGTTACTATGTTGTTCTCTATTTCATGTTGTTAATTGTTTTGAAATTTTCAGTGGTTAAAGGTTGTATTTTTCACTAAGCGGATATTTTATTTATTTCAAAAACTCTCTGGGATTCGTTTTCCATTATGACATTTTGAGAGGTCATGTCGTCGAAATTAATATTTACGCACCTTGTTGGGGTTCTGCATTCACATTTGTTACATCCTGGTGGTCAGTCGAAGTCGTGAAGACTGCAGTGCCGGTATTTTTTGCTAGAATGCTATTACTTGTATTTGTTCCTGAATTTTTCTGTGAGATTTGATATTTCATCCAAAATGCGTTATAGTTTTTATTACGGGAACATGTTTTTATGACATCGTGATGACTGCCTTCCTCGTTTTTATGACATCGTGACAGCGGGTAACATAGTATACTGTAATAGATTGCTACACCCGTACTACTTTGTTTATGTCTTTGTGTCCATATATTTGAGCATCGTTCTCTTATTCTCTTAGACGGTCAACATCAGCAAATTTCAACAATGATGAATAATACGTTAGCAAACTCGCAATCAAAACGCATGGATGAGCAAAGGGTAAGTCTCTCTGGACTTCCTGGGTTAAGGGTCAACGATGGCGGCAACAATCTGCAACAACCAGATGGCGCTGCAGCTCCATTACCAGGTACAGTGTTTTATACAACACATATTCACATCTTCCGCTCTGAACAAGGTTCTAAACAAGCAAATATGAGTCTCCTCTTTTTCTGAAAGTGCATATAGCCTTGGATTTAGCTGATATCATTACAATGCTCACCCATAACTGTTCTAGGCAAGTGTGCATCACGCACCACCATCAGTCTTTAGGATAGGATTCTTCGAATTTGTCTCGGAATGAAGAAAGCCGATAATGTGGATTAATCATATGGTGAACCTGGGCTTCTTGCTGGTTACCAGTCCATATCTGGTATGGGAATAGGTGGCCAGTTAATTGTTTCAGATACATGGACTTGATGGTGGGGGGAGCCGTAACTGCCCAGCGGTTACCTGAACCACCCTACGGCGGCGAGGAGTCCAGCAATCCTCTCGCACATAATCATCCCTGCATGGGATTCGAACCTGCGAATCAGAGTAAGGCAATCAGAGTTGTAGTGATCAAGTAGCACTTGGCATTCAAGGAATTAGGATAGGATAGGATTTACATATTTATCCTGGGGGAGACGAAAGCCGATAAGACGTCTTATCCATATGGCGAACCACGGCCTCTCGTCCGGTTACCATTCCAAGTCGGGTATGGGATTAGTTAGCCAGTTATTTGTTTTCGGAAGCATGGACTTGGTGGTGGAGGAAGCCGTAACCGACCAACGGTTACGTGAACCACCCAATGATGGCGAGGAGTCTAGCAATCCTCTCGCACATAACCATCCCTGCATGGGATTTGAACCTGCGAACCCATGCAGAGTAATTAGAGGTGCGGTGGCGAGCGTATTCCTAACGCATGATGAGCCACATCGCCGCGCCTTGTCAGTCGCTTTGCTCGGTTATTTCTAATCGAGTAAGAGTGCCCTTTCTTACCGATATTTCCTTAGAAAAACAAAGTTTTCAGTTGTATTCATTCTTTCTTTTCAGTGGTTCTTCGACCAAGACTGGGAAACGATGGGATACCAGGAAACGAAAACAGACATTCACTCGATGACACATTTTTTTAACGCTCTCATGAGATGCCAGGTGAGTGTTTTGTGAGGAGTTTTTATAACTTCACTCTGACAAAGACGTGACATGAGAGGAGTCTACTATACTCATCAGTAGGACTGGGCATTTCTCATCAATTAATAAATTATTAGGTACCCCCGAAGTATGTGAACCAACATGGCGGACATCAGAACGTAGTATATGTACCAGGTTAGGGTTAGGCCATGATTTTATTCCAGTTTTCTTTATTTTAGTTCTATTACGAGTTCGGGGACTAGCCAAGTTATGAAATTAAGGCTCAACCCTTACCTGGTACACATACTACGTTCCAGTGTCCGCCATCTTGGTTTACATACTACGGGAGTACCAATTATTCGCATCGGTTTAGACGGCCGCCATCTTGTTTTTGTCCGCCCGCAAGTCGAGATGAATCCTCATGTTTTTTTATTCATGTCAAATTTTCAAAATGCAATTCTGTCATATAAGTGAGTTATTGATGAAACATATTTCCTATTGTGTGTGAACTGTCCAGGTGATAGATTACGTGTTTTCAGTTATGTGGACCCAATATAACAGCCACATACAATTACAGGTATCCCAAGTATTCGAGATTCGAAAAAATGTTTGATTTGATTCTGAAATCATCAGATATTCGAAAATGCCCAGTTCTACTCATGAGTGAGTGCAAGTCACCTTGATTTGAGCAAAAAAAAAAATAGGTACGGTACTCTTGTAGTTTGTGAACCAAGATGGCCGACACTTGAACGTAGTATGTGTACCGGTTTAGGATTAGGCCATAATATCAGATACAGATTTAAAATAAGGAAAATTGGAATAAAAATATGGCCTAACCCTAACCTGGTACACTTACTACGTTTCGGTGTTCGCCATCTTGGTTCACATACTACGGGAGTACCCAAGAATCTTTTCTATAAGGCTACAATTTTTGATCAGAACCTGATCAAAATGAAATATTTAGACCTAATTTTTTTTGTTTGTTTCAGAGCACGAGGTTAAATGAACAAGCGCTCGTCACCTCCCATATTCGACGCTCCGGTGCTGCTAACGCCCACTATCCCAGACGAAGATTGATTGTTCGAATGCAATCGTCAAGAATCGAGGACCAGCGCTGCAGTTTTAGTCCCATACGGGAATCCCTTCATAATGTGGACCCCGATAATGACGACATATCACAGCAAACGGCATCGAATAGCCACCATTGTTTTGCTCATTGTATTTTAAAACAATGACGTTTATAAAAATTGTGGCATCAAAAGTGTACTAATGCCATGTAACATGGTTCCTGTGTTTCAGGCAGTGGCATCAAAACAAACCATGCCACCTACTAGCGTGGCATGGAGAGAATTATTTTCATTGGAAAGACACTCACTGCCCTGAGATTTTGGAGACACTGAGGTATTCAATAATGCCTTGAAACATTCAATAATGCCTTGAAATCAATTTGATACCCCATTTAAATGCCATGCTGCCATAGTAAATATCATCCAACTATGGGTTTGGGGATAGACCTCCTATTTGCTTGCGACATGGTTAAGATGCCGCTAACTTCCTGTGCCACCATTGAAGATGTTTTTGCTGCCATGTAGTGATTTCATTTCTAATTATGTCACGTTGAGCTAACATTGTGCAGTTGTAGAAATGAACTATCCATTATGTATCATAAATACAGTGCTTGAAATAAGCCATTAATTATGAAGTAACCAACTACGGTAAGGAAATTTACGCACAGACGTATGTATGTATAGTTATTAGCCTCGAAATTTGAAAGCACCCGCATAATTAATTAAAAATTAACAAGGCCTTAACTGGCCTAAGACACAGTTGTCTGACATCTATCCTTCACTAACAGAACAACAGTTAAAGACTACCATGTTGAAATGGGACAACACACATGGAAATATAGAAGTAAAACTCAAGCGCAGTGGTTCCCAAGTGGGGGCCCCGTAACCCCCCAAAGGGGCCACAAAGCAATTGTAGGGGACCACAACGTTAGGCTCAAAACTGATTTTCTTTCGATATCAATAAAAATCGCAAAAAAATTTTGATACATTTGATATCATGAAAAAAAACTTGCCAAACTCTGAAAATTTAGGATGTGCTCCCAAACACGAACTCTGAAAAAAAAAGAATTTTGAACTACAAAAACTTCTGGCATATTCAGGCCTCAAAGCTTCGAATATCGAATATCTACTTCCAGAGCCATAAAGTGGAGGGTTTCAAAATATCGAACATCAATGAAATTGTGTCAAACTCTCACCCTACAGGCTGGCCTCCATTACTAACATCGATGAAAAAATTTAATAATCAAAATCTACACATTAGCTGCTTTAATAGTTTTTTATTTCAACTTTGTGTCTGTTTATCAAGTTTAGTTTATTTCAGTACGATTTCTTTGAATAATCATTGAGGTATTTTCAAGCTTTAATACTATTTCCTTTAATATTACTTATTAATTCGTGACTGGCCAGAATATTCTCATGCTAATGTAATGGTGTCAGTGCTGCTATTTTCAAGCTTTGATGCTATTTCCTTTATTATTAAGGCGTGACTGGCCAGAATATTCTCATGCTAATGTAATGGTGTCAGTGCTGCTATTTTCAAGCTTTAATACTATTTCCTTTAATATTACTTATTAAGGCGTGACTGGCCAGAATATTCTCATGCTAATGTAATGGTGTCAGTGCTGCTATTTTCAAGCTTTATTACCATTTCCTTTAATATTAATTATTAAGGCGTGACTGGCCAGAATATTCTCATGCTAATGTAATGGTGTCAGTGCTGCTATTTTCAAACTTCAGTACAAGTCCTTTTAATATAACCATTGAGGCGTGTCTGGTCAGAATTATCTAATGCTAGTATAAAGGTGTCAGTGCTGCTATTTTCAAACTCCCTTATTTTTGATGTTGAATCACACTGAAGTTAACTTGACCTCTTTTTCAACTGCTGCATAGTTTTTTAATGTGAATATTGTTTCAAATTTCATTTTCTATGATTGTAATTTTCAAAAATTCGAATCTGGAAAAATTTAGTAATTCATCTTACTCATACCTGATTTAAGACCAGGGCTTCAGAGCCGGTGAAATTTATAATCGACTGCAAGTTTCCTTAATTGTTTATTTAAAACGGTGAGGTAAAGCATACCCTCTAAAAATGACTCGGAACGATAATTTTTTTCGTGTGTGTGTGTGCACTCTTATTGTGAAAACGTTAGTTTGAGTACTAACTTCTCATTCACCGCTATGTTTCTTTATCATAGATGTGAGATAGCTTTGGCAATACAGTGGTTGCCTCTAAGTTCACTAAAAATCAGTCTACGTTGCTTCTGAGTGAGTGTAAACACCTTGCTTTGAGCAAATTATTTCTCAGTCAAGTCACTTCTGTACCGGGTCAAGGTTGATGTTTAATTAATTCAACTTTTTTCATTTTCTTCTTGTTTTATTAACACTGTACTTCTTAGCCCGGTGATGTTTATTCATTATGAACTGATTTTTTCTGTTTTTATTCATTTTTGAGTGAATTCTGATAAGAAAAAAGGGTGGCGTTCTCTTCAATGCATAATTTGCAATTCCGAATCCAAAATGTTTCTGAATCTGAATGTATCAGGCCATGTTCAGAAACATTTTTCCACAAATTATTGGGCGATCCAGAAGTATGTGTACCAATATGGAGGTATCTAATTTTGTTCGCCTATTTTACATCAAGTTGTGTAAATGGACTGAAACCTAAGGGCAGGGGGTATATAAACTTGACTAATACAAACAGTTTCCGGGACTCTTAATAGAACTAAAATAAGGAAAATTTGGAATAAGATTATGGCCTAACTCTGGCCTGGTACACATACTATATAATAAAAATTATGAATGAATAGCCCTGGTTTTTGTAGCAAGATAACTCTTTATAACTGAATTTTGTTTTAATCATGGTTTTTCTGCAAAAGAATAGGTTGCATAGAGCCCCATATTATGATCAGCGCTAGTAATTGTAGCAAGATTGCCCCCTTTTTGATAAAATTATGTTCTAATCATTATTACATCCTTCTGAGTTCTGACATTAAAGTAGATGTTGCGACTCCGAGGAGGTTCGAGTTTGATGGAAAGGATGCAAAACGGTTCTTTCAATGCTAAAGGTTGCTGACCCGTGCACTAGGCCATTATGCTGATAGTATTTATAGATTAGTATTAAATCATGATTTCTGTTCTTTTTCAGATTTTTTTCTTTTTTTTTGCTAAATTTATTTCTAATCATGTTTGTAAATACTATATTTCTCATTAAAAATGTTATCAATTATTTTGTTAAAAATCGCTTTCCCTGGTTGCGGTAATCACACATAAGAGACCACCACTCAGCCCCAATAGTAGTTACCCTGGCGCAGCAGTTCCTAACAAGGGGCCGTCGTCGTTAAATAGGGGTCACAAGGTGCAGAACAGATTTTACTTGTCCCTTGACAAGAAAACTTCCTAGTTTCGTTGCTTGATAAGGTTGTTTCACGGGGTCTAATCACTTTATTGAGCATGAATTGTTTGAAACTAATGGGATTTGGAATTTAACAATCATAATAACACTATAAATACCACTGGGCCATGAGGCTTAGAAACCTTTGGAAGGGGGCCACAAGCCATAAAAGGTTGGGGACCTCTGCTATATTGTCAGAGTTTAGCAAACTTGTGCAAAACTTTGACTTCATCCGTTTTTAAGGCGTTATTGCTTTGAACGAGAATCCAGTAAAAATTCACTGAAATGCAAAACCCCACTTATTCTCCCAGTTCGATATTGCCTACCCAGTTTCTTATACACTTGTCAGTGTGGCTAACACGCGGTTGAACTTGGGATCTCTAACTTGTGTCCAGCCAATACTGCCAGGTGCCACATCTTTTGCTGTGATTATCAGATTTTTTATGTGTTCGCAACTTTTATTGTTTTCCCTACTGAAGGTTTGGCAAGTTTCTGTATGTGCCAGCACAAATTTACAATAATTAAAGCATTATGTGGTAGATATGCAAGTTGATTGATTTGTATTTTTGAAGGGGTAGTTCTGAAACAAGTCGGGAATTTAGATTTCTAATTGTTAACTTGACAAAGCTTTCTAAATTGACAGTTACAGGAGGTTTGCATATATCAGGGTATTTGGATCAAAAATTTGATTTTTCTGGAGCCCAGAGCTGGAGTCAAAAAATTTCTTTCTGGAAGTCTGAGTTAAATTGATCTATACAGACGCCTAAGATGATACTTAGATCTTCTAACAGTGCTTCCCAAAGTTGATTGACCAGGGCCAAAATAAAAGGGGATGGATACTTATTTGCAAGAGGCTGTGATACCAATTGGAACCGGAACCACTTCAACTTCAGCGAGCCATATTAAATCGTTTCGGACCTCGGTTTGAGAGCGACTGTTCTAATCCTTTGGAAAAATTGGCTCAATCTCATGACAAACTAGCAGACTTTTGCTTGGACATTTCAACCAGGTGACAGATTCGTAGACTGTACCAGTATTCTGTCGCACAGTCTCGGTCATGATTCTGAAATATATAAATGAGCAGAAAGTTGTGGCTTGTTATATAATCGAGCCATCTCTGTTTACCCTACGTAATTTCGCACCCAGTGGGGGATGCTGTATTTCTCTCTGCCACTTACTGGCTAACAAATTTAATCTCAGCAACTTCCCTCTCTGGCACGATAAATACAAAAACACTATCATGCCATCCCATTGACAACTCTTTTGAAACTCAAGTTTAATTTAAAATACAAGTATTTAATCAGTAAGTACGGTGAATGTTTTTACAATCAGAAAATAAATAAGATGTATCCACAGGTCATCTGGTAGAATATGGGGCTTATAGATTTTTCACTATGTAGAGTTTTTCGATTCTAAAGTGCCCTAAGACGGTTTGTATTATGATTTTCGAACACCTATGGGGTCGCTGTTATGAATACATAAAAATTGTAGACTTGAGGAGTTATAAAATGAGACTACGGCTCCAGTGAAAACTCAGGTACTCCTGAAGTATGTGAACCCAAGGTTGCGGACACCAGAACGTACCAGTTTAGGCCATAATTTTATTCCAATTTTCTATATTCGTTCGGGGACTAGCCAAAGGACTCCCGTAGTATTTGTGACCGAGATTATGGCCTAACCCTAACTTGGTACACATACTATGTTCTGTTGTCTGTCATCTTGGTTCACATACCTCGGTAGTACCAAATCTCGTGCCTGGTTATAATGCTATCGCCCTATTTTTACAAGCGGCCACCGGCATCTAATGATATGGTTGGAACAACTTCTTATTTGGAAAAACGGTAAACGTAAGAAATTCTCTCATGTGCAAATCAATACCTGGGTGAAGTGGAACAAGATTCAAACTAGAAATGTGCAATCTGCGCTTAAACCAAAAAATTTGAAATATTTGTACGTAACAGCTTTTTGAACTGATCGTAATGACATGAACTGCCCATGTCTTGCCTCAACCAGTGAGTACTCCCGTAGTATGTGTACCGGGTTAGGGTTAGGCCATAATTTTTATCCGATTTTCCTTATTTTCATTCTATTGCGAGTTCAGGGACTGTCTGTGTTAGCCAAGTGGATATACCCCCTGCCTATAGGTTTCAGTCCTTTTGCACAACTTGATGTAAAATAGGCAAACAAAATTAGTTACCTCCACATTGGTACACATACTTCTGGAGCGCTAATCAGTGTTTCTGAGCGATGAATTCAAACTATAATATGACTTTGCTATAATCCTTTATTATCTCAGTAGCTCTTGGCACTTAAGGGGTCGTCTGTTACTTCCCTCAGAACTTCTTCAGATCTGGGTGAGCGCTTTGCTTTGAGCAAATCATTTAAAATAAAAAATAAATATATATGTATAAAAGTTAAAAAGATGAGACTTTTGTGTCATGTGGGTGGCCCTGGCAGATCAGAAGAATGCTGGCTGTGATCTGTAAAAAGGAAAAGAAACTCGTTGAATATTTGTCATTCATTGCAAGGGTTGCATGCTGCGGGTTAAAAGTCTACAGTCTATAAAAACTGGCTAACGTATCCCATACCCAACAAGGACTGGTAACACTTTGTTTCTACCGTTTTAGGTTTAACCCTTTCCATGCGATTTTTATTTTTTATTAAATAATCGTATTTGCTACGCCGATTTTATGCATTTGTATCCCCACAACTAATCGATCGACTAACGGAAAACTAATGATCCACTGACGGCTCGCTGGAAAGCTTATTTAAAGAGCTTGCAATTGGCGATTAAAAAAAAAAGTTTTTTTAAAAGTGGTGGTCTGAGTCACAAACCGGATAGAAAAAAGGCATTTTTTTTCTTGAGAGTTGAAACTTCAAACCGTGATAAAAAATAGAAATATTCGCTAAATCCTTTACTGTTACCGCTTCGTGGTTGGCAAACAATAGCATAATATTGCTGTAGCAATTTCGTGATCTAACTCAAATACTTTGGTAGATGGAAGGAATAATATGTCTTCTATTACCACCCAAAAAACACCGAAATTTGCATAAATTTCAAAAACACTCCCTAGTTCCGCCGCAAATAAAATTCCCGGCGTAAACGAAAGCAAGATTTACCGTCGCTTATGTTAATCTCGAAGAAGACTTTTTATCAATAAACTAAAACCCGGAAAAACTAGACCAACAGTTTGCGACCGATTGCTAAATAAAACAGTGGAGTACATCAACGTACCCGCCGCAATCTAGCGACTTTTGTCGTTGGTACGTATGTGTGCCCACCGCACGGAAAGGGTTAAGATACCACCAATTGTTATGTCATTATCACAGTTTGAGTATATGTAGAGTCATAACAGTGTAATTATATCTGTATCTTGATTATAAGAACCAGTATCAACATCAGCCTCTTGCGGGCTCTCCCCTCTCAAAATAATTTAGAACTTACCGTGATCGTTACAATCATGTTGTTTCGATCGTTTCTTCTGCGCTCGCTCTTTCTTCGTTTTCTTCTCGTAAGCATTGTCATCACTATCGCTAGAATTATCATCTGACGACGAGTCCTCCCCAAACATCCGAGGTTTTTCATAAATACAACAACCTGTATGTAATATTTGACAGT